AGAGATGACAGTAGATTGTACTAACGACGCTTCAAATCCTCTCTGTAGAAACAAGAGGAGAGTCTTAGAAGAACAAACAGCAACAATGGCTTGTCATAGTGAAGTAATAATAATATATGTACATGTAATAATAATAAAAAGAACTTAATAAAGCGACCCACATTAAAACAAAGTCTCAAACCGCTGTAAAAACATAAATTTACTTTAGAATTATTAAAAATAGTAAAAGCAAAATGTAACTATAACTAAAACCAATGTACACAAAAAAAGCAAATTGAACATTAATTCAAAAATTTGGTGATCTTCTTATGTGTCACAAAGAGAGAGACGCTGCCTTACAAACTTGATGATATAGAATTGTAATTCGAATCAACATCGTCATCAAATTTTAAAATGAGATAAAATTGAAATGAAATGAAATGAAATGGAGTTTAACGTCCTACTGTTCTGCTTCTAACCTGGGCTAATGAAGACGGGCATACGCCATACAGTGTGCTATGAGGGAAATTTTGCCCGGACAGCGGCACTACGGCCTACTCTTATATCGAATTCCAACTGCCAAGGGATCTTTTACGTGCACGCCAATGTGTACACGGGACCTCGGTTTTTCGTCCCATCCGAACGACTAGAGAGCTTTCCTTGTCAGCCCCTCCGTCCTGCATCACTGACAAGGGAGAACCACGCCGGAAAATCTGGATGAACTTTCTCGGCCAATGCAGGGATCGAACACCCGACCTCCAGGCTAGCGAGCTAGCGTCTTACCCACTTAGCCACGTGATCCCCCGAGATAAAATTGATAATTCCGCCTTTAGCCTGCTAAACAATATATGAAATCACCCAGGTTTATATCAAATAAATTGTATTTGGTGGCATGGAAATGTTTTCGAACGGAACGTTATGTATTTCGGATAGCCGATGTCGAGTAGATTCGTCTTTAAAGTAATGATGCGTCATTTCCATGTATTCGCTAAATATCAAATTGCCGAATCCACTCAAATATGGGGGGGGGCGGGGGTGTTGTTGGATGGCCGAATGGTTAACATGCGCGCTGTATCATAAGGTATGTCATTGAGTCAACTGGCGTGGTTTCGATTCTCCGGTTGTACTTGCCAAGGAGTAGGGTCGCTTGTCCAACTGCGTGGGATTTCTCCGGGTCCTCTGGTTTCCTCCCACTGCTAAAAGACCCCTACGCGCAAGTGAATTGTTGAAATAAAATTGAACCATGTGTTAGTCTAGAAATGACCTAGTTTGTGTCGAGTAGACGTTAAACCCCATTTCTCCTTCTCCACTCTAATATGCTCTCAGATTGAATAGTTAACATTTAATTCAGAAAACAAAATAACAACTCTTGATAAACCCCTGGCTTGGATTACTATGTTCGTTCATCACAAAACTGACTCAGGCTTATTACAGAGCGAACAGCATATAGATCGATGAAATTTTAATTCAATGTATCTTAGTAAATACCAAAGGGAATTGAACCAGTTTCAGTAGTGATTCACCTTTCGGGGGGGGGGGGGTAAATGGCCGAATGGTTAGCACGTGCGCGCTGTATCATAAGGCCTGTCATTGAGTCAACTGACATGGTTTCGAATCCCCGGTTGTACGTGACAATGAGTAGGGTCGCCTGTCCAACCTCGTGGGTTTTGTCCGGGTCCTCCGGTTTCCCCCCACTGCTAAAGACCCCTACGCGCAAGCGAATTATTGAAATAAAAAAATAAACCATATGTTAGTCCCGAAATGACCTAGTCTGTGTCGAGTGTACGTTAAACCCCATTTCTCTCTCTCTCGATTCACCTTTTACTATATTGTTGCTTACAAGGGATTCCTATTGCGCTATGACCCAATGAGAAGTTTTTTTAGCATTTTATTTTTAATATTAAATTAGTGTTCGTACAAATATAATAAATGTGTTCTATAAACTAACTGTTGTTCTTTACAATTTCTTTATTATATGTATTTGATTTTATTTTTGATTTAAAACTATGTTTATAAACATAATAAATGTGTTTATTAAAGTTACAATTTCATATTTTTAAGTTATATTTTAAAAATGTATTAAAATAAAGCCTTAAAATAGATGGTATCTATAAACAGTCCTATCTTGTTAAAGAATAATCCTATTAATCCTATAATTCACTATTGCCGGTTGAGAAATTGGCAAAAATATCATTTTCAACTTCAAAACAAGGAAAACAAGGGAGGTAATTGTGTTATTAATTTTAAGTGTGGGAAATAATTCCTATGATCGTATAATAGTGAGTTGACAACCTATTGAGCAAAAGACATAGAAATAATTATGTTTTGACTTTCGTAGAAAATATGAAATTCTCGCTTTAAAGGGACATTATGGGAGATTAAATAAAGGGTTAACAGTTCTCGCTATAATAGTTAAAAAATAGATAACATAAACATAAAATATGCTGAAAATTTCAGTCAAATTGCTCCACTCTGAACCGAGATATTAGCTTTTTAGTTTTAGGCTAGCCTCGGTCATCATTACATAAGTCGGTACGACAAAAACAAAGTCTCGATTATCCATTTTTACGTTAAACCATCCTTCACAAAATGTATCCCAATCCGCTAAATATCGCAGGCTAGCGATGGCATCGAGGGTTGGTTATGGTCTGGATAAGTTAATTAATGTCTAATTACAGAGTTATTCATGATTGGGGGGAGGGGGGGGGGTACCATTCTCGGTCCTTAGTACGCTTTTTTAGCGCTTTCTGCCTTATAAAATGAAGTGAAATTGTATTTATTTTCTATACCTTGAAAAACAACATCTATGATGGTTTAATCCTGTGATGCTGAACTTGACAAATGTCTGCATAATAATACCAAGGTTTTGGACACTCTAGAGCTCACAATTTTTATCCGATTTTCATGAAACTTACAATGTATGTTTATAACCGAAAGATCTCATTAATTTCGATATTGGCGCATATAGGACCGTCACTTCCTGGATTACGCCCCTGATTGTGAGAACAGTCATATTTTAGTTTGTGGACCCCGCAAAAGGAACAGTTTTTATCCGATTTTAAAAACCGTTCAATTATATCAAAGTTACACCATTTACGGTTGAGTTCAAATTTCGTGAAAATCGGACCGAAACTCCCCGCTTATTTCGCCAACAATCACGTGAACTAACCGTATCTACATTTCAGCGACCTTGACGATAAATGAGCTGGTCTTGAATAATTTTAGCCGTAATACCCAGGTTAGACTAAATATTAAGGCCTTGCCTTAACCCACAATGCTCGGCAACAATCAAGTGCCCTAACCCTGTTTATATCTCGTGACCATAACGAAATCTGCCACTGGCTTTAATATTTAGATCTGACCGTAATGCCCAGGTTGTGGACCATCCAGCGGTTCGAATTTTTTTTATCCATTTTAGATGAAACTTAAAATATATATTTACATGTATATCTCAAAGATCGGGGTTCCTTTCGATTTTTGCGCGTATTGGACCGAAAAGTTTAAATTATGACACCCTGATTGTACGAAATATCACGTTTTTAGCGGTTAGAGGTTACAATTTTTATCTTATTTTCAAGTAATTATATCACCGTTACACCATGATTTTTGCCCGAAAATCGAACCTAAACTTCCCGCCAAATAACCACCCCCCATTACGAAAATATTGCAATAAAAGCAAGGAATACCCAGTTTGTGGAGCAGAGGTCACAATTTTATCCGATTTAAATGGAACTTATATCGAGTATCACTAGTTCTTGGGCGAGTTCAATTTTCATAGGAACTAATTTAGATACAGGGCAAATGTATGTTAGATAAATTATTAGTTGGAGAGACCAACTTAGGGAACCTGTATATTACTAGTCATAAGGTGTTTAACTATTTCTGTTATTTGCTTCAGAAATAAAGTGTTGATGATCCATTCCAAGAATCTATATTCATTTCTGATGCTTAGAGAGAGAGAAATAGGGTTTAACGTCCACTCAACACAATCTAGGTCATTTCGAGACTGACATATGGTTTAATTTTATTTGAGTAATTCGCTTGTGCGTAGGGGTCTTTAGCAGTGGGAGGAAAAAGGAGGACTTGGAGAAAATCAACGAGGTTGGACAGGTGACCCTGCTCCTTGTCATGTACAACCGGGGATTCGAAACCACGCCAGTTGACTCAATGGCAGGCCTTATGATACAGCGCGCACGTGCTAATCATTCGGCCACCCAACCCACCTAGACCATAGAGGGGTTCATATCTTGAACAAATATTTCCGATATGAAATCTTGGTTGTTTAGCAGAACATTATCAACACTGCTGCCATTTTCTCAATTGGCTGATGCTGTTGTTAGTTGGTCACAAATTAAATCAAATGTGGTTTAACATCCTAAGTGCAATGAGGAGAAATGAAATGAAATGGGGTTTAACATCCTACAGTTCTGCTCTGAACTGGGCTAATGGAGACAGGTATACAATGTGCTATGAGTGAAATTTTGCCCGGACAGCGGCAAGAAAGTCTACTCTTATATCGAATTTCAACTGTCCTGCATCTCTGACAAGGGGAAACCACTCTGGAAAATCAGGATGAACTTTCTCTGCCAATGCAGGGATCAAACACCGACCTCCGGGCTAGCGAATCAGCATCTTACCCACCGTGCTATGAGGGAAAATTGTCCAGGTCAGTCGTGTTTCTGCGCATGCCTCGCCGAACTCCAACAGATAAAGGTTTTTTTACTGAACCCCAGTCACGATACAAAACATATTGTGATTCAGGTGCTACAAATCATATCCCGATTCATAACCCACGTCGGTAAAAATTTAGAGGAACTTTCGTGGCAAACACACCGGGAGAAAACCTGAGTCCTCAAATTTGCTATTGTGCTGATAAGGAGGAAACGACCTCGGAAAAGCAGAAGAACTTTCATGACCTGGGACCTGGTTTGCTACTGTGGAATGATGACAACAATTTATATCCACATAATATGGGTGTATTAGATCCTCAGGTTATAATGGCTGGTAACAAAATTAAAAAATAATTATATATTTTTTTAATAAAAGGTTGATTTTGTTGGTTGAATGTTATTTTTTTCCACAGTAAATGTATGTATATACAAACAATGTCTATCATCACTCTAGTTTCATTAATAAAACAATCACGGCTGTATATATTATAAAATCTATTCAACATCATCTTCTTCTAAAACAGCTTCTGTACTGGTAGGTGGTGCTGCTCCTCCACCAGGTACTAATCCTGACAATCTCTGCAAGATATTTAAAAAAAAAGATCGTGTAATAAAAATCGGATGATAACTTTAGCATCTAGAGCGCCACAAGATTTTTTCAAAGTGATCAAGAGCCATAACTTTGGCAGTAATTATCAGAAATCTTTGAAAATCTATAGGATTCTTCGCTTCATGACCTTAAACACTGTGTATAAATTTAAAGTCAATCGGATATTGACATTAGTCTCTAGAGCGTCCACAAGATTTTTTGAAGTGATCAAGGGCCATAACTCTGGCAGTAATTATCAGAAATCGCTGAAAATCAATAGGCTTCTTCGTCTCATGGCCTTAAACACTGTATATAAATCTAAAGTCAATCGGATATTAACTTTAGCCTCTAGAGCGCCCACAAGCGATTGTGGAAGCCGACCGGTCGGCTGGGGGGCGACCGCAATATACGACCACATTTCAATGTGGGCGTATAAAAATTGAAAGGTGGTAAATACATACTTTGTTGTAAAACCCTAAAATGTCAATGATATTCTTAAAGCATGAAATGAATCCCTTTTAAACCGATGACCATCTAAATCATTAAATAAAATGGGATTAAATGTCTTATATTTCTGCACCAGTTGGGCTCATAAAGACTTGCCTATGCAATGCATGGTTCTACCGGAGTCATGGTGTATTCGTATTTCAATTTCCAATTGTCAAGGTATCTTGAACCTGCTGACAACTGTATGCATGACACCTCGGTTTTTTTTTACTTATCCGATTGACTAAACACTTTTCTTGCCAGACCCTACATCACCAACAATGGAAAAACAGACTCGTAAATCCAAAGGAACTCTCTTGGACAACACTAGGATCGAGCCAACACTAGGATCGAGAGAAATTGTGTCTAACATCCACTGGACACAAACAAGATCATTTCTGGATTAAAATATGGCTAAAATTCAATTCAATAATTTGCTTGCGCATCTAGGGATCTTTAGCAGTGGGAGGAAACCTGAGAACCCAGAGAAAACAATGAGGTTGGACAGGTGACCCTACTCCTTGTCAAGTACAAGCGGCAAATCGAAAGGACGCCACTTGACTTAATGACAGAGAGAGAGAAATGGGGTTTAACTTCCACTCGACACAACTTAGGTCATTTAGGGACTAACACATGGTTCAATTTTATTTCAATAATTCGCTTGCACGTAGGGACCTTTAGCAGTGGGAGGAAACCGGGGGACCCGGAGAAAACCCACGAGGTTGGAACTTAATGACAGACCTTAAGACTTCACGCATTAAACCATTAAACCGGGACCACCCACTAGGATCCCTAGGATTGAACCTGTGACCTCCTAAATAGTGAACTAATGACCCAGCGTGATTCAACTAAATTACATAAATAAGAAACACATCTTTCTTTTCAAAAAATTAAAAATAACCTCAGATAAGTGTGTGAAAATTATTATTACCTGGCCAACAGATGGAAGTTTCTCTAATAACAGGGAAAAAACTTGAGGTGGTAATGTTTGACGTAATACTTGTAGTAATTGTTGAGGTTGACCACAAACTGCAACAGCATAGCTCAGATGTTCTACACCTCCCTCAATATCTCCTATAAATAAATCATCCTTTATATTAGTAATGTATATACATGTATAATTATAAGACATAATGTGAGGAACAATTTTGCCAGAGCAGCGACAGAGTATTCGTTGAGGTACCACACCAATAAGTCAGAAACGCAAGAGTCATATCAAAAGCCAAAATTGCTGTCAGTTTAAACATACATAATGCAAGAGCTGAATCTGCCTATTGCAGGTCTTTCTTTTAGCCTGAAATGTTAACTTAATTATCAATAAGACATTAATTAACTTATCCAGACCATAATCAACTCTCAATGCCATCGGATATCTCAAATATTAAGCAGATTAGAAATTACTGTTCTGGTACTATGCATTCCAATGTATACACGGGACCTCGGTTTTTCGTATCATCCGAAGGACTAGACAGCTGTCCTTGTCAGGGCCTCCGTCCTGCATCACTGACAAGGGGAAACCATGCCGGAAAATCTGGATGAACATTCTCGGCCAATGCAGGGATCGAACACCCGACCTCCAGGCTAACGAGCCAGCGCCTTACCCACTTAGCCACATGATCCCCCAGTTTGAAAGGGATGCCTATAGTATAATGTTAATATTATAAATATACCTGTGGCCAATAATTCTTCTCCTAGTTGTACTTCTTGAAGGAAAAATCGCTGCATTGCTTCTGGATTTGTTAAATCAGGAAACTAAAAGGCAAAAGATGAAGATGAGTTATGGTTTTGTGCCATTCGAATGACTAGACACAGTCAGATCTCCTGCCTTGCACAACTGACAAATATCGATCAAGAGACTCAATATCAATAGAGTAGGCCTATCTTGTGTAATTATTACTAATAATCAGCCAACCCAAAAGTAGTGCCTGTTTCCTGTCAGGATTGAGCCCACAACTACAGAACCTTAAAAGAACTAACAATTAAATTTGTGTGGCCTCACACGTAGATGCCTTAAATGTTATATTTTAATGTCTGTACCTCTGTTCCTGCTGTTGGTGCTTTCGTCTTTCTATTAGCATTTCTTCGTTCTTAAATAGAATCAAATGATTTGTATTGTTATTTTTATTATAAAAAAACAAAAAATAGCCTAGGTCACAAAAAAATCACAAACAATTATTATTTACAAAGTTTGAATGGCAGGCTCAGAAACACGGTTCATCTGTTTGTTGGCATGAAATCCAACTTCTGAACTCCATCACATCTATTTCTGTTTTCATTATAACATGACAGGTGTGAAGTGGACATTAAACCCCAGTGTATGGTCCAAAAAATGAAAAAGGGTATAATGTCCTAATTTTCTGCTTCATCTGGCAGATGAAGACGGGCATTTATACACCTAGTTCAGCTCTGAACGTAGGTCTCATTACACTCGCCCTGTACATTCAGGAACCGTCCTATTGAATCCTTGGTGAAAAAAATTCACTTGCCAGTAAATTTTACAAGGCAACATTTTACTACTAAACGGTCACGTGTCAGTCCCTGTGAACACCTGAACAATGTAAATGAACATCTTAGTGAGAAAATAAGACCTTGCTTACTTCGCTAGAACTAGGATGAGTGACACAACACGCTGTTAAAAAATACCTCCCCGTCTTCTAAACGACTTGACCGATGCCATAGATAGGGTAACGCACAAATTTACGAACTCAGCCAAATAAGATGAAACGAAATTTAGTTAAGCCTGGGGGGGGGGGGGGGGAAATTGATTGTAAATTATTGTAATTGGAATAGGCAAAGCAATAAATGACTGAAGATTCTCAACTTTTCAAAGATTTCAATTTTTTCCCCCAGGCTTACCTAAATTTCGTTTCATCTTCTATGGCCGTTTTCGTAAATTTGTAATGAGTCCTACGTTCAGAGCTTAACTACATGTATTATACACCATGCAGTGTGCTATGTGGGAAATTTTGCTCAGACAGTGGCACTAGGGCCTATTCTTGTTTCAAATCCCAACTCAACTAGGGTTCTTTGACTTTAATTAGGTACGCCAGTGAAGCGGTGAACCGCTGATGTAATTTCATCGTCGCGAGTCACGCTTCAGATACGCCAGTGCGATTTGCCGTATCGGCTTTTCTTCCTCATCGTATTGTTATTGGTACGAAACTGCGGCTTCAAATGAGGTTATTTTCGTAAATAAAAGGCTAGCTTTTTCGCCTCGTTTTCGAATTTTTACTCTAGCTGCTCCGTGTGCAGAGAAATCTAAACATGAAAATGAAAGTAGAAAACAATACGATTTGTGGGACGCATACTCGAATAGCGTAGGGTTACAAATATATACATTAGAAAATATATATATTAAACTTTAATTCTGCGAGTTTTCAACGAAATCGGTAGGTGCGGAGCTATATAGTTCGGAAAATTTTTGATCCAGTTTAGCCGTGACCGCCATGTAAGAAAGTTAGTGAAATTTTACCGCTAGCGACTGTTGGACAGCCCTATCCAGAAATAAGAGAATTAAAGCCATACGGGATAGTTGAATGTTTTGTTGTCATACCTACTTTAATGTGTGTGTGTGGGGGGGGGGGGGGAATACATGTATCATCTACTTTCATGTCAATGGTCCAAATACTTAGTAATTATCAATTGGTGTGTTCTTTTCATTTTGCATATTGATGGTGCAGATATTGACAATACCCACATTAAATTATTTTAATGTTCGCGAACTAAATTTTGATAAAAATTGAAGAAATCAAGTTTCATCATTATATTGTCATTACACGGGCAGCGTGTCAGACTTACTTTCTCGCAGTTTTTGTTTGAAATTAGGATCGCTTCTTCTTTTGTGGTCAAAATAAACACAATACCCCAAGAAACACAATCCAGCCCCTGCTGCAGCGATACCGAAGGCTGACTTGGGGACCATTATAAATATTTATAAGAGGTCACTTTTTCTTCCATGCACCCCACGGAGCTCTTGTACGGGAAAAGGAAGAAACAATAAACGGAAGCGGTGTCGACCCTAATTGAAAGTCCATGAAATTCTGTAAATGTACACACAAAATTATATTTTCTGAATTGTGCATATTTTGTCTGTTCAAAATTGATTTTCCAATAAAATCTGTAGAATTAACCTTTTTGTTCACAGCAAACCTATTTCATGTCTATAACGTGGTCTATTTTAGATTTTAATCCGAAACAAGTGATGCAAGGGACATAACTATAACTAATCCTTTAACTTGTGTTGAACCACCAAAGCTTTTCTCTAATAATGATTTTGCGGTTAATTCTTACCTCTTGGCCTGGTGTAGCTGAACACTCTCCTCAACAGACGAAGCAACATACACCATGACTCCCAGACTGTTGCGTAAAAAGAAATTTTGCAGAATTGAAACACAGACCATTTATTGTCTTCAGTTATTCCAAAGTTATGTGTATCAATTGCGTTAATAATTAAACAGTTTTCTTTAAATATAACAATATTTAAGGACATTAAATTGAATAGCGAACAACTGGACAATATCGTAAATCATAAGTCAAAAATAGAGTTCAAGATCAAACATTAACAAAAGTACTCTTTCAAATAATAATTTAAATAGATCGACCCCAACGTAAATTGTTAGCCCCCCCCCCCCCCACACACCCCCGGCTATGAAAAATTTAATTTAAATAATAACAGTCGTTTCTTTTCATTTTTTTATTTGCGCCTATTTGGTGTTTGTCTAATAGAATTGCACTTTAAGGGGGCTTGTGGTGGACAGGGCAATCTCAATCGGCGATGGAAAATATGTGACGTCACAGTAGAAATCGGAAGTCCCGCTTGTTGCCCGACAACGTTGTAATCAGGCTCGTCAACTGTTTAGTTAGTTAATTAAATCGTTGTTGATTTTCTTTTTAAATTTATCATTATTTTACGATTATTTAAAAAGAAAAAGGTAAGTTTAGTAATTTATTTTACTAAGTCTTTTTTTAAATTTAAAATATTCAAATAATAACAATAGATGTAGACAATTAGTCAGAATTTAATTTTAAACAATATTATTTTGATTATATAAAATGTTTAAGTATATAGCCTATATAAACAGACTAAAATATTTAATGTTTACAAATTAAATATAAATCATAACAGGTAAGTTTTCTATGTAATTAGATTTATTAAATATATTTTAAAATTAAAATATTTAAACAATAACAATTATTGTTAGGTCTAGGTGTAAAATTTGCAAAATTGATCGGAATTTTAAAAAAAATGAAGAAAAAAAAAAGAAAAGAAAAAAAGAGAAGATTTTAAAAGGTTTAAGAATACTAACACATAGTATCTTTGAAAGCCATTTAGTGAAAGCGATATATAATAAACAGACAGTTTTATGGATAATATTCACTAGGTTTATTAACTGCAACGGTGAGAGTATCCTCATTGAAACGTTGCAGTTAATAAACCTAGTGAATGTTATCCATAAAGCTGTCTGTTTATAATATACTAACACACTAATGTATTTAACAATTTTATACAAAAAATGCATAAATGGTCTATACACATCAAAATCAATGACGTATTTAGGGAGGGGCAGGTAATACAAAGTATTTTAACAGTTCTACTTCTACTTTAATTTTAAAATCTATATTCGAGAAATTTTACCAAAATTTACCCCCCGCCACGTCTCCCCACTTCATTTTCGGAAATCCTGGATATGCCATAGTTTAATATTTAAATATATTTTATGATGCAGATGTCAGTGACAATTGAAAATATTGACGAGGATCCCAGTGGCTGTGGAGATGTAACAGAGGTGGTTGACGAAACGAAATCTCTGCGTATATTGTACAAAGGTAATATTATTATTATTATCTATAGAATAGCAATGAATAGTAGAGTACTGTCTAACATATAGCTACGAGGACGTAGCTAAAAACGTTGAGATATACGATTATGCTTGTTTTTAGCTATGATTGGGTGCCTTTGATATCACCTAACAACCTTAATTTCGTTATTAATGCACGTAACATCTTAAATATAAGTTAATTTTATAGGACTTATCAACATATGTATACCAATCTAGTGAAACAACTATAGTTTATCTGGAAATATTGCCAATAAAGGCAAAGGTAGTTTTACTTATTGAAGTGCGATCTTACCTGGATCGGGCTTTGTCAGGTGAATCTATACCATCTATTATCTCGAGAGAGTTCATTTCGGGACTAACCCATGGTTCAATATTCGGTCCAGGACAGACATCTTTTTATATCACTATAATTATATTTCTTATTTTATTCTTCAGATGAATTGGTGGAAGCCATAGACAACCTTCAAAGAATTATTAAGGAAAAAATAGATCAACTGCAAGAAGAAGGTAAACACGTGACTTATGCTTTACCTTTAATTATCAGATTCATCAAAAGAGTGGGGGAGGGATCTGAAATATTTGTAAATTTCAACTTCATTTCAGTTTTTATTTTACAGAGAAAAGAAAGCATATGGAGAAAGATGAAAATGATGAAGAAGAAGAAGATGAAAATGATGATGAAGAAGAAGACAAAAATGATGGAGAAGATGAAAATGATGGAGAAGATGAAAATGGAGATGAAGTAAAAGAAGAAAGCAAGATAGACAGTGGTATAAATAGTTTATTTTGCTGATATATTCCAACATATCCAAATAATGTTGGCATGTAAAATAACATAGCAGTAGTACGTTCAGACAATCTGCTGGGACCAGAAACACACCTGATTGTTATAGAAACCTGGCCGCTCGGGTCAAATCGAATCTTTGATGATTTTCTAATCTGACCATCTTTATGTAACTTACAGATTATGTGACCACTATCTGTGACATCATAAAAATGGCCTTTGATCTTATTCTATTCATTCTTCATAATATTTACACTAGAAACTTGTCTTCGTGTTGTTGTACTACCTGTGTTTGTAATGTATTCTGTTCAGAGTCAATTGTCCAAAGAGTAATAATGTATGGAATATTTCTGAGAAAAATTCGCGCACTGGAAACTTCATAAATGAAGTGAAATGTGGTTGAACTTGTTACTTGAACCAACCGGGATAATTACAGTATAATATGAGTGGAAGTTTGCTGTGGCCCAAACTTATTTCGACTTGAAACGCCTGGGAATCTTTAATGGTATACATAAACTGGACCCCAGTCTTTCACCACTTTCTGTGTCAATGTCAGAACCCAGAACCCGAGACCCCTACTTAATGAGTCAGCTCCTTACTCACCAAGCCACCCTTGTGCTTGATAGTGTAAAGATCTTTATAAATAAAAAAACTTGTATCATAGATAGATATTGATTTACAGGTGAGGTGGATCGCCAGGAAGAAATCCCGGTATCAACTCGCTGGAGCCGATTCCTGGTGGTAAGTTCATATTGTAGTTTGGAATTCTATATTTGCATTTGTATCTTAAAAAATTAAATATACATTATGCAAGAACTAAATATGCATATTGCAGGTCTTTCTTTGGGCCTGAAATGTTATCTAAATTATTAATTTGACATTAATTAACTTATCCAGACCATAATCAACTCTCGATGCCATCGCTAGCCTGCGATATTTAGCAGATTAAAATACATTAAAATTGTGAAGGATAATTAAACGTAAAAAGGGATAATCGAGACTTTTTTTTCTTTTATCGTACCGACTTCAGTAATGATGATCGTGGCTAGTCTAAAATTCAAAAGCTAATATCTCGATTCAGAGTGGAGCAATTTGACTGAAATGTTCAGCATATTCTATTTCCGTTATCTATTTTGTTTTTAACTATTATAACGAGAACAATCAACTCTTTATTTAATCCCCATAACGCTCCTTTAATATTAATAAATCTAATAACACCGAAATTTCAACACCCATAATATATAACTTGTTTTCCTTTTTTTATTGCTTTTCTTGATATAAATCTTAGTTTATATTTTATAGTGTAAAGTTCTATTTCAAGTTTTCATATTAGACTATTGTATTATAAAAGTTATATATGATGTTTTGATATTTCGGGCTGTTGGAGTAAAGTTATATGATGTTTTAATATTTCAGGCTATAGGAATAAAGCTATTTATACCCATACTTTTTCTCGACTCTTTGATGAAAATGGGAGGGTATACACCGAAGTGGCCGTGTATCAGTTGAAGGGACAAAAATAACAAAATCATGATTTACATTGTACAAAATGATTGGATGACATTTGCTTTTCTCAACCAATCAATATCCCTGTTATGAACATTTTCCCTGACTTGATTTAAACCGTGAAATGCACGTGCGGTGTACTGACATCATTTACCTGAGTAGAAATAAGCGTTTGCGATGAGATAATTGGGGGGCTCTAAATGGGAAACTTTGATAAATTTGTGAAATGAAAAATGCTTTTGAAATTGGGAAAATAGACAAAATCTCTATTTCTCGAAAAAGTATTTAGTATAAGTCAGTTATATACCTTGTTTTCTCGGTGTATGGGTTGATACACCGTCTCTTTTTTGAGTGGAGATCTCTGTGACGTGATGTGTTCACTTAAAATAATGATTGCTCCCTAGTCACGTGTTCTGTAAGTAATGACGTCCAATATAAATGTTGTTGACTAAATTGATTATCTTCGTCCTTCTTACAAGTCCCACTTATATATTGGTAATAGAGAACAACGTAGCATGGTGTCAGAATATGTCAAGAACTCACCACACACACTCTTGGACCAGATAAGTGCTGTATTATTCCAGAAATTGATCTGAAGCGTTCGAACATTCCGGAAACAGAACGACGTCACGTAACTGACTAGCCTAATTCAACCTTCGTCGAAGGCGAACTGCTTTCTGAACTGTAAATCTGTTTCTCACTGTTATTGCTGTGAAGTTTGAGTAACATACTGACTGCTGACAACTTTAGTCAAACTGATTCTGATGTTTTGCTGTGAATAATAACGCAAAATTGCACGGAGAACTAGTCACACGTTTGACGGGAAAAAATCTACGGAAGCCTGATTCCACCATCTTAATATCTGTTTTCAACTTTTTGCCTTTGTTGACTTGCAGCTTTTCCACCATAGGTGATGAAGATAATGTAACGCAGGCTCAAATCATCAAAGTACCTACTAATATTCCATTACCCCCAAAATTAGATTTAAAGGGAGATCTATCCAGAAATTTCCGCAAATTTAAAAGAATGTGGACAAATTATGAACTGGCTGCACGCTGCAAAGATGAACCTGATGATTGCAGATCGGCAACCCTGCTTACCTGTATCGGTTCTGATGCATTGGATATTCTGGATGGACTTCAATTTGAAGAAGAGGAGGACAAAATGAAAGTTGAAAAAATTCTGGAGCAATTTGAAGTGTATTGCATAGGCGAAACAAATGAAACCTGGGAAAGGTACACCTTCAACAAAAGGGACCAAGAGCAGTTTGAATCTATTGACTCGTATGTTGCTACTCTTAGGACACTGGCCAAAACATGTAACTATGGTAACCTAGAGCAATCACTGATTCGAGACAGGATAGTCATTGGAATAAAGGACAATACCCTTAGAAAACGTCTTCTGCAGAACTCGAAATAAACTTTAAAAGACTGTGTGGATATTTGTAGGGCACACGAGAATGCTTCTAGAAAATTAAAATCGATGGCTACAGAGGATGTTCAAGCGATTCAACGGAAGGGAACTAATGAACACATATCTACTAAGTCACTGCAGCCATCTACAGCTCTGAAATGTAAGTTTTGTGGGTACCAACATGAGTTTGGAAAGAAGCTTTGTCCAGCTTGGAGAAAAATTTGTAGCTCCTGTCGCGAAACTAATCACTTTTCGAAGATGTGTCCAAAACGAGGTTTTGGGAAATCTAAAGTTCATATGATGGAGGAACAGTCAGATGATGAATATATTATGTCTATTGATGAGGACTCTGAATACGTGAATTCTGTGAACTCTCAGCATGATGGTGAATTGGTGAACAACTACCCAAAGAGAATCTTTGCCCATATGTCCCTCAATAACAAAGACGTAAATTTTCAACTGGACTGTGGATCCACCGTCAATATTTTACCACAGAAACTATACACGGAAGTCTTTGAAGACCAAGGACTAAACAAACTTGTAAAAGGGTCAAAAACAATTCTTCGCATGTTCAACGGATCTGAGACCATTCCTATTGGGAAGCAAAGAATTTCTATCACTAATCCAAAGAATAGTCGCAGATATAGCATGGAGTTTCTTGTGGTGGAAGGTGAAGCTTGCAAGCCAATTCTGGGATCCCGTGCAATTCAGCACATGAAACTTGTGACTGTTAACTTTGAAAACATTCTTCTGTTGTCATCAGCAAGTAGCGAGAAGAAAGGTGCTTCTCCAACACAGGTAACTGATAAACTGGAACTGACTGATATTTATGAACAGTATGCAGATTTGTTCATAGGAGAAGGAAAGCTTGACGGAATGCTTCATTTGGAAGTTGACAACACTGTAAAGCCCGTCCAGTTGCCTCGACGTAAAATTCCTGTTGCTCTACAGGAATCCCTGAAAACTGAATTTTAACGACTTACTGAAATGAAGATCATCACACCTGTTGATGTTCCAACTGACTGGATATCTGCGTTAGTTGTTGTCAAAAAACCAGGAACTGGCAAACTGCGAATCTGTATTGATCCGAAACCTCTGAACTATGCTCTGAAACGTAACCATTATCCAACTGTGACTATCGAAGATGTACTTCTTGATCTCTCGAAGGCTAGGTGTTTTTCATTGGTTGATGCCAAGAATGGGTTCTGGCACATACAGCTTGACGAAGAGAGTAGCTACTTAACCACTTTCGACACCCCATGGGGAAGATATAGGTGGCTCCGAATGCCTTTTGGACTTTCACCTGCCCCTGAAGAATTCCAGAGGAGACTAGATAATGCAATATCGGGCCTGGATGGTGTTAGAGCTGTACATGACGATATTCTTGTCTATGGCATAGGAGATAGCTTTGAAGAGGCTGAACGCGACCACGACCAGAAAATGACAACTTTGTTGGATCGCTGCAGACAAAAGAACATCAAGCTGAACAAGTCAAAGATGAAACTGAAGCTCCCCGAGGTACCCTATCTAGGACATGTACTGACTGCAGATGGTTTAAAAATTGACCCGTGCAAGGTTGAAGCCATCAAGGATATGCCTGCTCCAGTTGACAAGCAGGGAGTTCAGCGCCTTCTAGGTATGGTGAATTTTGTGCAGAAATTCGCTCCCCATGTTTCTGAAGTCACTGCACCACTGAGAGATCTTCTGAAGGATGACATACAGTACAACTGGAACGAGGATGTACAAGGAATATGCCTTAACAAAGTGAAGGATATTCTCTCAAATCCTCCTGTTCTGAAATACTTTGACAATGATGCTGAAACCATCATACAGTGTGATGCATCCCAATCAGGACTTGGTGCTTGCTTGATCCAGGGTGATCAACCTGTTGCATATGCCTCGAGATCGATGACCAACACTGAGCAAAACTATGCTCAGATTGAAAAGGAGATGTCGGCTATTGTATTTTCAATGGAACG